AAAAAAAAACAAAGAAACGAATGTATCTCTCTCTAATAAGGCGATTAAGTAGTTGCTGAAGACAGCTGTCACTAAAAGATGCGACAAAAGCCGATTTTGAAAGGGTTGGGTTATGAAGAAAGAAAAGAAGGGACTATCAAAAGAAGTCAAATACCTCATCAGACAAGCTTCGCTTCCAGACATAAGGAATATATAGCTTCTATTCCCACTTTGAGTAAACCCATGAATACTTGGAACGGACTGAAGCCAACTTTAGAGTCTACCCAGCTATCTTTCCTCTAACCTGTAACTCACTCTCTTCTGATTTCGTTCATGCTAACTTTTTGTACTGCAGAGGCTACTCTCCAGCCGGTTCCGGAACAGTCGACCCATACGCATGTGCCAACATTCAAAACGCCAATAAAGGTAATTTAAGCAGAAACCCAAGTTATGTGCAATGAGACGAGTCACGCCCTTGAAGCAAGCTCCTCCCACATAAAGAAAATTTCTACGAAAATTCGTTAACTAATAATAGCCAGTAGTTAGTATATAGAGGCCCGAATTAATTATAAAATAGGGTAGTACATCCATTCCACGCCTTATGAATTCACTTAATGATTGACTAATTAGCAACAGATCGCCTCCTCGTTCCTTGTCAAAGTTCTATATGACTGTGTTATGTATGATTAGACGACTTGCCCCGGCTCACACCAGGCTTACTGGTATTCATGATTCAGTGACTCTGACGTTCATTATTATGAGGCTATCCAAAATAATATCGAACCTAAAAACATTGAAGACTTGTGTTAATGAATATCCATTCAGCTGGTCTCGGCACTGAAGTGTTCATGACTCCTCAACCAAACTCTGCGAAAACTGGTGCTCAGCAATTCGACGAAATGTACAACAACTTGAGAAACTCGAACATTAATGTTCGAGCCGTATGGATTCAGGTAATATAGTGGAAATTCGAGAAAATCTTAAAAATGAATTTTGAATGATGATACTTATAAACAATATCTGTGCTGTGGATCTCCAATAGAAATGAAAGGGCCAATAGCCCAATTGTAACGAGGGGATCTGAAATCGAACAGATGAGAGAAAAAGATTTGCTAGAGGTCTCATCGACTGTGTATCCCCTATGGGCTCTCCCTACCAAGAAATATGTCATGAAAACTATTGCGTATGTACCCTAATGGTCTGGGATCGTTTACATCGAAATTTGATGAAATTTCCTTTTAAACTCCAATCGAATCTCACAGGCGAATTCAAGAAAGCCAACTTTTGGATGACCCTAATGTTTTCATTGTGAGCGAAGCTCCTCAATCCCTCACATGGAATCTACTTGAATATGTTTCAGGTGACATCACCAATCAACTGGTCCTTAGTCACCACCAACAATGTCAATTTCCTAAACAGTATCCTTTCTAGAGCTAGGGTAAGTAACGTTTGTAGCCAGAGATGAGCACAAAAAGTTAACGGAATAGTTTTTTTTTCTTTAGCAATACGGTATTACTGTTGGAATTTACACAAACTATTACGATTGGAGTCAAATAACGAATGGGGCGATGGTCAGCAACGTCATGCTGTGGTGAGTAGCGTAGCGGAACATTCGGGAGGTTACCCTTGCTCTTCACACCATGATTTCTCAGGAAAGGTAGGAGCCTGAAAACCCAATGATTTCATTGACTCTCAGGTACTGGAATGTGTATGGAGGTGGTCCGCAGAACGAGACTCCAGCCGACTTTAGCGATTTCCGTCAATTTGGAGGATGGACGGTACCATCAGTGAAGCAGTTTGCCCAGGTCGAGTCCGTTTGTGGAGTGACTGTGAACAGGTACGACGGAACTACCTCATTTATGAGTGAAGCAGACAGAAGTAAGGCTGAACGAGCACTTTTAGAAACGTCTACACCACGTCTTCTGCGCCAAAAGGTATGGCCACTATGGCTAAATCTGCGAAATCCGACGAAATCACCGTTGGTGGTCTGTTATTTGAAAATGCGGCGATGTTCACCGGAAAACCGGAAATAATAGCATGATCTAACTGTTTGTAATCCGAATGAATGTATAATAAATGAAATGAATCATTAATTCGAAGGTGTCTTCTGCCAGCAACACTCATCATAAAAACTGTCGTTCGGACTAAATCTTCGCCTTCCAAAGTTGAAAACCTGTTCAGGATACGAGAACTGCTCTCTGACCCTTCGAACATTTCTCGTTTCAGCTTTCAAGCTGAGTGCTAGGAGAGCAGCAAGACGCCAACCTCTTGCGAACAGGCGTCAAGCGTCAGCGTCTAGCGTCAAACGCGTCCGGTCGCGATGCTGCTTCGTCTCAGTTCTTATAAAGATTAGCAAAATCGTGAAAACTGTTCAAGGATTTCAAGCATATCAATAAAACACGAATATTACCCTTTTTAGGTGAAAAGCACAGGGCGGGGACATCTCTCTGAGAGCAAGGTCGAGAAGCAGCTCAGACCGAGGCGATGCCAAAAAGTCACTTTTTTT